TCCTTCTCTCATTTCCTGGCACTTCCTTGCCTCCCCCTTGCCAAGACGGTACCTGAGTCCTCAACAATGGTCCTTGATCAATCGCAGGCCAGTTGTTATTAGGAAAAGTGCGTGTGTGGAGGAGGCTGGGAGTTGCCCATCCAGAGACACAGGAGGCGAGAGGTATGGGGAGCACAGGACTGAGACTTTCTGAGAATGAAGGGGGGCAATTCCTGGGAAGAGGGTGGGGGCCTCTGACTGCGTTTTATCTGTATGATGAGGGGGTCGGACCAGATGGCTTTGAAGGCCCCTTCCAGCCTCCACTCCTGGGCGGGATCCATTCTGGGCCAGCCCGGGGGGGCCACGATCCAAGGGAGTCCGCCCCACTTTGTCCCCGAGCCTGGTCTTCCAGCCCTGGTCCCATCCACCCCCAAGGAGGCTCAGGAATGGTGAGGTCCTTGGCTTTGCCAGGGGAGAGGCCTCTCCAAGCCCTGCTCGCTGTTGCCTCTGCCTTTACACATCCTTTTCGTGATGCTTGGAGGGAGTCGTTTTCATCACCTGCTTGTATCTTTACCTGTTTTGGAAACGTGCCCCTGAGAAGCTCTTGCCAGGAAGCGATGCCCCGTGTGCGCCAGCCCGCTGAGTGCGTTGTGCGGTGCTCGGGAGTTGACTCCTTGGGAATCGCAGCTAATAATTAGCTCGCATGGGGGCTAAAGGCCGAAGGCCAGGCGCTTGTTTGCTGGGCCTGCTTGGTTTGATAGGAGTGTTTAAACAGGGATTGTCACAAGACCCTTTCTGATCCCCATGGGTAGGACCCATTCCATCGCTCTTCTCTAGCCCAGCAGCATGGTGACTGGAGGGAGGCCGAGAGGGGCGATGAGGAGTCTGCAGCAAGGCTGAGGAAGCATTCATTCATTCATTCATTCATTCATTCATTCATTCATAGTATTTACGAAGGCAGGGCAAGGGAACAAGCATTCATTAAACATCTACTGCGTGATAGCTTTGGGGGCAGCTAGGTGGCGCCATAATGCGGAAGACCTGAGTTCAGATCCTGGCCAGACACTGTGTATGACCTTGGGCAAGTCCTTAACCCTGTTTACCTCGATTTCCTTATCTGTGAAATGAGCTGGAGAAGGAAATGGCAAACCGCTCTGGTATCTTTGTCAAGAAAACCCCAAATGGGGTCCCGGAAGAATCGGCCAAGACTGAAAAACAGCAGATGTGGTAGCTTTAGCCCTGGGGATAAAAACAATCCTTGCCTTCTATTGGGGATGGGGGTGGGGTGGGAGGCGCACAGATAAATTAATGCAAAATATAGACATAGGAAATATAAAGCGACTCCTGTGGAGGGGCGGGGCTTCGGGGGGGAGGGGGCGCCAAGGGGGAGATGGGGGAGGGCTTGGGTGAAGGAAACCAGGCATTTACAGCGGGCAGGTGCAGAGAGGGCATGCCAGGCATGGGGGACAGCAATGTCAGGACGGGAGGCTCTCACCGGAGTCCTGGCAGAGGCGACAGGGCCTGAGCTGGGCTGGTGCTTGGCAGGGGAGAAGGGTACTAGGGCAAGAAGCGGGTTGTGAGAAGGCCACTGCATCTGTGGTTGGAGAGAGGTTCGGGAGTGTGGGGGTGGGGGGGATTTTACAGAAGAGGAAACTGAGGTCAAAGAGATGAAGTGACAGCCGAGATCAACAGGTCCTCTGACTCCAAATCCAGCCCTCCGCTTCGGGGAGAGGCGGGGTGGTGATGGGGGGCAGGGTTAGTCTGTGTTTCCTGTGCACCCCATCCTCCGTGTGTTGGGTGATGCTGACCCCTCTATTGCCAGGCTCAAAGGTGGGGCAGCAGTTCCCCTTACTTGGCCTTCATCTACTGAGGCCAGCAGCCTCCCTGGGAGGAAGGAGCTTTGGGAATGCTGATACGGGCTCTGCAAGGGCTGGTTTTAGCACAAAAGCCTCCGGGAACTTAATCCGGCGCCGGTGCTTGGTGAAATGTGTGGCGAGCTTCACACGAAGATTACTGCGGCTAGGATGAGAGCAGGGGGAGGAGAGGTTCCTCCGGGGCTCAGCGCCCTCCCTGCCTCCTCGCCATCTGACCTGCTGCCCCTCTTCTCTCCCCACACTTCCCCGTTCTTGGCCTGGGCTTGGCCTGGGGGCCTGGGGAGGCCCCCCACCTCCCGTGCGGCCCCCTGCCCAAGCCCACGTTGCCCCGTGAAGCGGCCCATGCTGAGGAACTGAGAGGGAGGCAGGCTCTAGTGAGGCATGATCCATTCTGATGGGTCACTTCAGACCACGAGCTCGCTGAGGGCAGCAACTGTCTTTTGCCTTTCTTATCCTTAGCACTTAGCCCGGTGCCCTGGCCCATGGGGCGCTTAATCAAGGTTTGATGACTGACTTTATCACCCTGAAGAGGGACAGCTGGTTGTGATGGCTGTTGGGCTTGGTGTTGGTGGAGGCCAGGGTTCAAATCGTGACACCTTGGCCCAGTCACATGACGTCTCTCCACCTAGCTTCCTTGCCATATAACGGGGATCATAATGCCCAGGGCGCTCGTGAGTCAGGCACTTTGCAAACATTCAAACTCCATAGAAATGTGAGCTCGGGCTCCCCTCGCACCTGGGCTGTTGCTCTTTGGAAGGCAGGTGCAAGCCTTTACCTTGGGCCATATTGAGTTTCATTTTCTCAGTCAGGCCTCAGATTTCTTCAGTGACAGGTTCAGCCTGGCTGTTGGGCAGGCTCCCAATGCTTCTTCCCCTCTTCTGAGAGGTGCAGGAGGGAGCCAGGGACTGTGGCCAGGAGTGTGACCTGACACTTTCCCCCTGCTTCGTGTGGATTATTGGGGTGAACAATCCAATACATGTACACACTTGGACCTTTTGCTTTTTCCTTAAAAAACTGGAAAAAAAATAGAAAATGGCCGGACCTTTAACTTTGGCTAGGAATATCGGAGCTTGGAAAGGTATCCAGTTCTTTTATTCTTACCTTCCCCTAAGCCCTCCACTCTCAGATGATTGAGACTCGATTTTCCCAGTCCCACCTACCTGGAAACCAAGACATTTTGCAGGCCAGGGAGGCCAGCTGTGTGAGGGAACACCAAAGGGTCATCTTTCTTCAACGACACAATTTCATACTCGGCGTCTAAGATTCAGCCTTTATGTTTGTGACCTTAGTCCCCATAGACTTGGGAGAGCCCCAGTTTTGCCTGTGAGGCCCAGAGATGAGGCCTTTCAGACCCACGAGTACGAGCAGCAATTGGAGGGCAGAATTCAGGGTTCCAGAAATGCCCCCCTCCTTTATCATCTGGGGGAAAATGAGCCATCAGAGGAAGCTCTGCCCTTTGGGGAGGGGCAGCATCTGGGTACAACCGTAACATCCCAGGAAATAGCATCCAGTTCTGGCATGCTAAATGCCTTCACCAAGGCACTGGCGTCTGCTCCCAAGGTTCCTGAGTGTACTGAGAAGCACCGGGGACATGAGGCCATCCGTGTGAGCCCGTCCGTTGTGCCGTCACCCACAACGGTTGTCCTGGGGCTCTGATCACCATAACTGCTGAGCCAGGTTTGGGGAAAGGATGTTGCCCTGGTAAAAGGCAGGTAGTGGAGGGTGTGTCTTCATACTGAGCATGGCACAAAGCTAGGTCCTTACCTAGGTATTCAGAAGGCAAATACCTTCCCACGGGTGCCCTGGCTCATCTTGGCGTTGGGATTTCCTTAGCTGCCAGAGCAGAGAGTGTTCCCAGGGCTAGGCCGGTGGCACCCCTAATTCAGCATGCCAGAATCCTTGGGTAGTGTTGGAGACATCCAGTCCCCACTTGGGTGGGCTTGCCTTTCTGGATCCTCTCTGTCTCTCTGGGGAAGGCAGTGGGAACCAGCATGGTGGTGGGCCCCCGCACGATGACAGGTGGTAGCAATGACTGGTAGCCGCCCAGTCCACGGAGGGTTCTCTGTCTGAGTGGCCAAAGACAAGCTCCTTCATGTTGCTGGACTTAGCTGTGAAGTCACAGACTGACTGGGAGCTAGGTGCCCGTAGGAGGGATTCTTGTGCCTCTGTGTATCAGCCAGGAATGCCAGCGGGGTAGGAGTGTGCATGGCAATATGTAAAGGGAGGCTGCGGGAAGTGAGGTCCACCATGAGCCCTCGCGGTACCTGCTCCTCTCCATCCTATGGAGACCTGCACTCTCCGGGTTTTAGGAGAGGAAACCCAAAGTGGGGCAGGCGGGCCCACGTCATCCCCTACTCAGTAAGCGATGGTGGCTCCCAAGTGCCTCCAGGATCAATGATAAAATCACTCAAAGCCCTTCACAGTCTCGCCCCCTCCTCCCTTTCATTCCCCAACACGTCCTCTTGGGTCCAGGGCTGTCCCACCTTCCATCTCTCCACTCTGGGCCTTCTCTCTGGCAGCTCTCCAGCCGGAAGCGCTCTGACCACTGACCTCCCTGGCTTCCTTTAAGTCCCCCCTAAAACCTCTGCTCCTCCAGGAAACCTTCCTGGCCCCTCTTCAGTCCAGTGCCTTCCCTCGGTTCGTTCTGCCCATCCATCCTGCCTGAAGCTTTGCTAGGTATGTTTGTTCGCTCGTTTTTCTCCTTGTTAGACTGTCAGCTCTGTGAAGGCAGGCGCTGTCTTTGTAGCCCCAGGATTCAGTCCAGTGCTGGACACACAGTAGGCGCTCTGCAGCTGTTTGACATTGGCCCTCCACTCGGATCCCTTTGGCTGGCTGGTGCAGAGCTGATTCTTGCACAGATGGCGCTGGTCTGGCATCCGCGACGGCCGGCAGGGCTGGGCTTGGAGCCCGGAGGACCACCTCCGCCAGAGCTGCCTGCTCCGGGGCTGGGTGTCCTCGGGCAAGCGCTGCCTCTGCAGGGCATAGCGGCTTCACCTTGCCGGGGGTCTCCGAGCCGACCGGCCAGAGAGCTCAGAGCCAGTGCGCTCCTGGGTGCCCCCTGGTGGCTGGGCTCGTGCTTAACAGTCTTCCTGCTTCTCTCCCGTGTCCCATCAGACCCCTGACCACAATTGTGACCTGTCTTTGCAGTTCTGCACGGAGCTCAACCAGCCCACCCTGCCCAGCATCCGGAAGTGGAAGGGCCCTCGTGGCTCCTGGAGGAGCATCGTCTCTGTGAAACCCTCCAGCCAGCTCTCTCAGGTGCATCCTTTAGGAAGGTGCCTTGCCTTGTGAGAGGGTCCCCGGGGTCCTTGCTCTCCCCAGAGGCATTTTCAATTTGAGGCAGTGTAGAGATCGTTGGGAGTAAAGTCAGGAAGACCTGAGTTCAAATCCAGCCTCAGCCACTTCCTAGCTGTATGACTCTGGGCAAGTCACTAAGCTTCTGTTTGCCTCAGTTTCCTTATTTGTAAAAGGGGATCGTAATAGCACCTGGTGATACTGCATTTGTAAAGCTCTTAGCCCAGTGCTGGGCACAAAGAAAGTGCTACATAAATGTTAGGTATAATAATTATTATTCTAAATGGTATACAAATGTTAGCTATAATAGTAATTGTTATAAGCACTATATAAATGTTGGCTCTAATAATAATTATTATTGTAAGTGCTACATAAGTGTTAGCTAAAATAACAATACTTATTCTTTTAAGTGCTACATAAATGTTAGTAGTAGTAATAATAATAATGATTATATAGCGCTTACTTTGTGCTAAAGTGCTTTACAAATAATGTAGCATTGATCTTTACAACAACCCTGCGAGGCAGGCACATTTTATGGATGGAGAAACTGAGTCTCAGAGAAGTGGAATGACTAGTCCATGGTCACACAGCAAGGAAGAGGTGGAAGAGGGACTTGAGATTTCCCTGTCTCCCAGAGGGTCCCTGTCTGCCAGCTCTACCCACCCATGGGTGTCCCTAAGACTCTGCTCTTCATTGGTGGGTGAGGGGAGCTCAGTCACTGGGGGCCGATGCACCCGAGTAGCCATGAAGTGATGCTGAGGAGGGGCACCAGCCCGTGTGCTCCGAGCGTCCGTCCAGACAGATGGAAGAGCCTTCTCGGACGTCTTCTCCAGGGACTTCCCAGCCCTTACCCCTCAGCCTCCCAGCAACCCAAGAGGGCGGTGCTGCGGGTGCTTGTGATGACCTCTGCAGACGGGGGAGAAACTGAGGCTCGGAGCTAAGTGACTGACTCAGGTCAGCGGCCTGTGAAGTGGCCAAGGCAGGATTGGAGCCCAGGTCGCTTGCCTCCCGCCTTTGCCAGGCCTCGCGCCAGCTCAGGAGAGGAGGGCTGCCTCCCACCTGTTTGCTCTTTCCCGACAGGGCGGGACTTACCTAGGCTTCGTCTGGGACGCTGCTGCAGGGATAGAGCTCAAGGAGGCCGGCTTCCAGGAGGGCCCTCAGGCCAACAGCAATGGGAAACAGTCGAACCCCAGCCCCTATCTCGCGCACTTTAAGGTACCCTTCGGGCGTGTTTTCTCATGTGGGTGCGCATGCGTGCATGTGTGGGTCGTATGTAAGCATGGATCTGTCTGAAGCAGAGTGGTGCGGTGGAGACTGCTGTACTTGGGGGATCTGGGCTGTAATCCTGCTTCTATCAGGTGCCTTCCCCTGCCTGGGCCTCAGTTTCCTCGCCTGTAAAATGGGGGCTGGGCCAGATGGTTTCTGAGACCATCCCTTCCAGCACCAGGTTAGGCCTCCCCGAGGAAGCCTCTGGGCCCCTGCTCAGAAGCACGTTTTTACGCGTATAAAATCCAGCACATGGGATCACAGAGGAAGCTGATTAGATGGAAAAGGTGTTATCGAGGCATTTTTGAAAAATAAGTCCACAGGCCCCAGTGAGGACCCCCTGCCCCAGATCTGTGATTCTTAGGAATGGAATTTCACAAGACTGGGCTCTGATGGTCAATGAGGTTGGGAAACCTCTTGGGACCGTGGAAAGTGTGCTGGCTTTGGGACCGTGGAAAGTGTGCTGGCTTTGGGACCGTGGAAAGTGTGCTGGCTTTGGGAC